TATTCATTGAAACCGCTGTTTATATAGACCATCAAATAAACCTAATTAAAATGGTTAATGAAGCCGCTAAGTTCCGCAAGTTAAATACGATTACTATGGAATACGCTTCATTGACAATGCATTATTGTATAAAAGAAATCTTTCCCCCGGCTTCCGATGACCATTGATTTCTAATTGTTTTTTATGTAAGAAAGATATTTTCGCATGATCTACAGTGTAAACAATTCAAAATATCTTATTCTTTATATTTTCAAAAAGATTGAATAAAAGCTTGTTTGAAATTTTTTTTTACATGTAATAAATCTGTTGATCAGATGTAAATAGCAATATACTTTCATATTTAATATAGTTTTTTTAAAAATATTTTTCGGACATTCTTAATGCAGAATCAAACTATTTAAATATTATTTATAATTAACGACGTATAACATTAGGGAAATTTATATCAAAAGTAAAATCTTTCTATTTACAATTTTAATTATTATACCTTTTAGAGCATTATATGAATCATTCATTAATCTCATAAAATAACAATACTTAAGAAAATATTTTCAGATGTTAGTATCGCACGCATAAAAATTAAATTAGATGGTAAGAGAAATGTTACATTAATAATATCCAGGAAACGTATCAGAGTTTTAAAGAGTAAGAATTACAACAAGTCAAGGGAAAACTCAAAAAAGGAGCATGATAATACAATTTCCACACAAGTACTCTTTGTAACTTGATAGATGTTTTTTTAAATGTTCTTCATTTTATCGCACTGTTAAAGAATGATAAAATAATTATTTATGCGATTTAATTTACATATTAAATGCTATTACGTATGCAGCGTTGTCATTGTACTTCTATTTAAAAGAAATCTTTCCCACGGTTTCTGAACGCCTTTGATTTCTCATTGTTCTTTCTATAGGATAGATATTTGCGTATAATCTACACGGTAAACGATTGGAGATACCAAACGCTTTATATTTAAAAAAATATTTAAAACTAGCTTGATATCAAAATTTTTTCCTGATCTTATAAATATGTTGAACACATGTAAATAGCAATATAATTCAATATTTAATATTGTATCTTTAGAAATACATTTCGAACATTTTTAATGCAGGATCAAAGAATTTAAATCTTGAAGAAAATTAATAATGTACAATATAAAAAAGAATTTATTTACATGTAAAGTATTTTCATGTGACTGTTTAATTAATATTTTCTTTAAAGCAGTAAACGAATCTTTCTTTAGTCTCATAAAATAGCAATACTTAAGAAAATATTTTCAGATTTTAGTATCGAATACATAAGAAACTTTAAAAGGAATTATGTAAGATAGGAAGAACTATGACGCAGTATTTATATCCGGGACACTTAGGAGATTTTTAATGTGGGGGAATAACAACCTGTTTAGAGAAAACTAAAATCGTTTGTCAAAAAATTGTATTTGTGGAGAGTATTTAAGGCGATTTGAAATTTACAGCAACTATCTTGGTTTATTGTTTACTTGTATTGTATGTGGGAAAAATCAATTACTTTTTTTACTAGTAGAGAGCGAATACCATTTGCTTTGTTTTTAAAACCTTTCTAAAAAATATTTCTTTTATATCAACTGATTCTACTATGATTTATTACTTTAAATTGTCTATGAATCATTACGTGTTATATTATATGTTTATTGATGACGAAACAATAGACTTCACTGAATGTAAAACATGTTGGTTTGTTAAACAATAATTAAATAAAATTAAGAAGTTTAACCTTTGGTTTTCTGGCCTTWGTTTCTGTAAATCTTTGAACAAATTTAGATATTTATAAGAACAGTACCATTTACGAAATACGGACAGCAAATCTTTTGCAAAAACGTAGTTTTAGGATTTCGAAAAGAATCTTTATAYTTATTTACTTTTCAGCAGCGTGACGAGTTACAACGCACTCTCGTTAACGTAACATCGTCCAAGCGATTCCTCAGCTTGGAAAATTTGTTTCTTTGATTTTATTTTTATAGTTTTATTTTATATTTTAGGTAYTTTTAAGTATGTTTAATTTACTTTATCCTTTTTTTAATTATTTTAAAGTATGTCTTCTCACTTTTATAGGGAATTTAATAAAATTAATTGCATTTGTATTATGAAGCGAGAAAAGTTCTTGAATCTGTACTTCTTTTAGCGCGTTTGAGAAAAAATAAAGAAAGTGAATTTTTACGATACGCAAGAGTTATGTTACGGTGTAGGAGGTATGAGTTCACACACGTAAGTAATAACGAATGATTTATTTCTTTCAGGTAAGTGATTAAATAGCCCTATTAGTAGGGAGCAAATAAGTTCTGGAAAGCTGCTAATGTGCAAAATAATGTTTATGATAATTTGACGACGCAGAATCGAATGGTGCAAATTTTTTGGCAATTGGATGGCGCAACTCCAAAAAAAGGGTGAAAAGGGTAAAAAACAGATGTATCTTAGAATCTAGGCATTWAATCGAAAAAAGTTTCAAACAAAAGTTGTGTAGAATTGAAAAATACATAAAAAATGTTCTTTTGTGTATCTTCGTATTTGCAAAAATAAGCGAGACATATTGGTAAAATTGATCTTAAGAGTAGGGGATAAGCCACGCTTCTTCGTTGATCTTTACACGCGAGCGAGCTAATGTGCGTTATCTTGGGGTCTCTGGGTCGCGTGAATGCAAGTGCGAGTGAGAAAAGAAATGGATATTATCTGTTTAAGCGATAGCGAGTATTTTTCTTAGGGCCATCGATTGTTGAGTGTTCTGTATTAAATATTTCTGATATTTTTTCATGCTGTAGCGAGAATTTTTCGTTTTGGCCATCGAGTGTCGAGCGTTATGTATATCTATATATATCTATATATATAAATATATTGGCGTATAAGCGCGGCATTTTTAAATCGAATCTTAATGCTTATAGCACGCCGTTTTTTTATTTATTGTCAAAAATACTGAACCTTGATTAAAAGAAAAACATTAATTCATTTTAACAGAAACTATTCTTATTTAGTCAACAAATTATGTATTTTAGGAAATTTTAAATTGAAGATTTGTTGTCTCGTAAATATTTATTTGTGTATCAAATTGAATACATATTTGAAAAAGAAGAATTTTATATCTCCACATAAAATTAATTCAAGATATACAGGAAAAGATATTCTAAAAACGTGAAATTTATTTTTTGACATCACATACATTGATTCCAGAAATTAGGAAGACTCATGCATAACGCACACTTTGAACCAAAAATTAAAGTTTACTCCTATCGGACGATAATTCGCCCCATAATAACATATGGAAGCCCGATTTAGTTAAACCAAAAGGCGGCAACGATGGAAAAAATCAGAACATTCGAACGAAAATGTCTACGTGCTTGCCTGGGAAAATATAGAACAGCTGATTCAAACTACGAAAGATAGATCAGCAACGAAAAATTATATGATCTATCAAATACGTGCAGAATATATACGCATATTCTCAAACTAAATAGAGATTATTTCGCCAACACAAGGAAAGTACCAGGCAATAGTCTTATATCAGCCATAATATACCCAAACGACTCTTACTTCAAGAAATCGCTAATGACAGGGACATACAACCCGAAGCATTCATATACCTCGATAAGAATGGATACATCCAACACAACAACAACGTCCCAATAATATACCACATTGGTATAAAAGCAAGAATAACAACAATAGAATATAACCAATACATGGACAGCAATAATCAATCCAACTGCTGGATATACAAAATGATGCTACCCAAGAAAATGATGCTACCCAACAAAAAGAATCGCTATCGCTTAAAGAAATCTTATCCATTTGTTTTCTCACTCGCACTCGCATTCACGACCGAGAGACCTGAAGATAACGCACACTAGCTCGCTCGCCTGTAAAGACCGACGTAGAGGCGTGG